TATTGCGAATACTTATTATACATTATGTTTATTCTCCTAGTACATAAAAGGTAAGACTACATTAGTGGTAATCCAATTTCAAAGGTTCTTAATGTTTGTAAATGAAAGTAAAAAGAAAACTTTTGTCCCTGATTCGCTTTCTCTTTCCGAACTCATTAGTCCGACGTTTTGAAAGCAGGTCACGGAAATAACATAAAAATGGGCTAAGCTTCTCACTCCATGACACGAAGGCATACCTAACCTTCATACCTTCATCAACATATAAGGAAAGGTAGAGAAAGTAATTAAGTGGGATTTTCAGGAATGAAAAGTTCCTGGGATTAAATTATAATTTATAACCATTTAAATTTCGATCGCTTTTAAAAAAAGAACTCATGTTGAAAATTTAATGTAATTATTTTTGTATTGCTTTTCTCATTGTATTATTTAGTTGGTACACAACAGAGGTTCTGGTACGATTTCCGGCTCTATTTTATAGTTAGTTCCTTAGGACTTTTAGTCTTAAAGGAACATGTCATTGACACAAAAATAAGTCTGCTATACGCGTATATGGGTGGCGATACTTTAGTAGTTCATTGCTTTTTCTAAAGCTACGCGCGAAATACTTTCATTTTCGAACCAAATTAGTATCACACCCGCGCTTTTGTCAATGAGGACGTGGGCAGCATCTCGAATACGACATTGGCCATGTCAAAGACCTTACTACGTGATGGCTAGACGATGATAAAGACTACGGACGGACTGTGTGAATGACGTTCTTGCACGGGGCTGTCAAGCTCAAATACCTACAATTAAAATACAATATGTTATTATGGGTGGTTTTAATAAGTCTTAAATAAGCCTCTAAATATCACTAACGTTCTAGGCGTTTTGTCTGAAGAAGTTATTGCGCGCAATTAATTACCGTATATAATTTTTTATTTTGTTAAAATTGATTAAGACACAATCACTTTAATCAAAAACGTAATAGCCACTACTGATCTTGGAGTGACATTTCACCTCCCAGGCCAGCTATCCTGAGCTTCACGGTCCTCTTTACGAAACTCTTTAGAATCCCACATTTTAAAACTATTAAATTATAATGTGTCAACTGTTTCGCGTGCATTACAGTCTGAGTCACACGTATGCATGCAGGCTGTTAAGCACGCAAAACTCCGGGTATTTTTTACAATTTCAAATTCAATTGTATAAACGTTTAATGCGATATTTTTAAACTAAATGTGATGTATGATGAAATATACTGTATAAGCCATTTGATCCTGAATCTACTTGTATATTACACTTTCTGCAAATAGTCGAATATTGTCAAATCCTTTTACCCCATACACAGGTACGCGATATAAAAATGCGAAGAAGCTTTCTCATCGCTTCTTTATCCCAAAATTCCTTGCCAAATAGCGATATGAAACTTCTCTATATACCTATTGTAAAAGTTTATGTCGCAGGCATTTCCTCGTATTTTCCTGAACACACATCGACCTAATTGAAAAGCTTACAGGAAAAGAAATATATATTTACAATAAATGCAACATTGAGCCGTATGATATAAAAAAATAACGATGTCATTAAAACAAAAGTAGCCGATAGTGCAAAGTAGTTTTGTCCTTATAAAGTGTCTTTAGTAATAAGTATTATTTTGAATAATCAATACCCCAATGAGTATAACGCAAGGGGAGTTCTGAAAATCTGTTTTACACGCTGACTACTGTAAAGCACTCGAGACAGCGCGTTGTAATGTAATAAATTCGCGTTTATTTCCACTAATAAATGTTAAGTACGTCGCATTAACCGAAGCAAGGAAAAAGTACTGAAAATACATTTGAAATCTATTATGGAAACAGTAATACTATTTTAAGTTAATACTTTTTTTATTATGACAACTGTTAATTAAACAAGCTATTTGATTTTGTAATCATTAATCTTTAAGATAGAAATAACATAATACTGCTAACATAAATTAATATAACAAAAAACAATAACTAACCTTATAAAATATATTATTAATTTCGTCAAAGGAGATATTCGCTTATAAGATACGCCTAACATTTTTAACACAACCCGACGTTGTCATTAAGATTTCGTTAGATGGCTGCTTTGAGTTTTGTAACTGGATTGTCGAAAACTGTTGGCGACTAATCGCAAGGACCACCAGACTCTACAATAGTCCTTCTCAGCGTCGTCATCTCGTTAAGAGTTTACTGTACGTCAACCGTTACGCCAAAACGTCATCACTACAACTACAAATTGACATAAATGCGTCAAATTCTGATGCAAAAAATGTTTAATTTGTAGTTTGCCCGACTACCGCTCCTGTTGAGGTAAACAAGAGGGTCGCGTTATCGCGTTAGGGAGTGATGACGTCACAGGCGCCGCGGTGGCTTGGGGCGGAACGGGCACGCTAACGCCGCCCGCCCTTCGCGCGACGATAGAATGCTTTACAGTTCAATGAACTTTATATAACTGTAATTTGAAATAAATTGGTAGTTTTGTTGGGAAGTCCCCTTTACATATAATATTATACGTAGTCGTTCCCAAAGTTCTGTCATAAATGGAAATAATGATAAAAACAAAAGTATTGTTCAGTTTGAATGGTGTATTTGTCATTAATAAAAATACGAAATAACTCCCAATTTTTAAACAGGCCCTTACAGCTCGGCCATCGTCTACGCAGCACGCACCATATTCGTGTGATTTCAGTCACTGGTTTTTAAAAAGGACTTCAGATCTCCAAATTTTCATGAGGGTTTATCACAGACCTTCCCCTCTAAACCCCCTCTTTTTTTTTTTTCCTCATTTTTTTTTTGCCCCCCGGGGGGGGGGCCCCATCCTATGTCTAATTAAGACGATGTTTTGACGTCAAACCAGGCTTTAGTGGTCTTGGCTTTGTATGCAGACGCAGAGTCCTGCTGGACACGAAGTGATGTCCCGCAAATAGGGTGCTGGACATGTCTTTGACAAGGCGAAACAAAACCGCCCCTTTTTTCCCTTTTCCCCTGGTTTTGACCCCCCTTTTCGAAAAAAATTAACCTCAGTTAGCCCTTAAAGGACACTCCCACCAAACCATTACTGATGATGGATGATGTCCATGTTGCACCCTTGGACTTTATTTTCAGCTTCTTCAGAACTCCCTAGCGTACACAGTATAATTCTGTTTATTGTACTTCTCTTCAATAAATCGAAAAATTTTCGCCTCCGTAAAGAGGATATCACGGTGTCGGTGTTTTCGCGTACCGCTTAAACCACACCCGTGATCTCTTAACCCTTTTTTCTTTTAGGCGGGCATTAAGAAAGTGCCCACTCTTTTTTTGCTCGTAGACCAAGATCTTCATTTAAAACCTTTTTCTGTTTTCTCCTACTGACACCCATCTGCAAATCCATCAACTTCTGTTTTCGGACAGGATTTCTTACTATCCGCGCCTTGATAGCTTTGATTACTGCTGGTGTTCTTGCGAGTGGCCAGCCAGTTCTTTTCTTGTCCTCAACACTGGAGACTTCAAGGTACCTATCAATAGTACCGTACACAAACCTAAGCGTTATATTCAAATTTTTGAGCAACTTGAAAATGGTACTCGGCGAGTGTCCACAGGGTGCAACAATAAAACTATTCGGTTTACTTTCAATGTCCACTCCATCGTGAAAAATTACGGAAAGTTATTGTTTTTTGTTTTAAAACAATAATCAAACATTCCAAAATAGAATGCAATAATTTTTTTATAAAATCCTGCTCGAAATGTAGAAATAATGTGCTAGTGACAGAACTTTGGGACCAACTACGTACATTGTATTATTATTAAGTAAAAATAATGTATAGCCGGTCTTTAAATGCCAAGAGTAATTATGTCCATTTTAGTATCATGCTATTAAAATAATAGATTTATTTATAAACGTTTTCTAATAACATTTAGCAATACAGAGAGGAAATATGTACTACCATTAAAGGTACACTGCTACCAAGACCAATATCTTCAAATTTATTTTTGTTTATCCAATTTTTATTGACCTAAAAAGATATTAAAACACATCGATAACTCTTTATACCTTTAATTAAACACAGATCAATTATATTTGGTTCCTATATATACGATAACCCATAGTTCTTGGAAACAATATATTTAAAACAATCCCTATAATAGGAATAAACCCTCTTCAAATTGAACATAGCAATATTTCATACAAATCGTTACAGAGAGACTCGCTTCGTTGCACACTGAAGACGTCTGCAGTGTGCAGTCTGCACATTATACCCGCAATTTGAAACGCAATTTGAAACGTTTGTTTTATGGATACTTCGATTGCAGTGGGTTTGTTGACCTTAGTTCGTGCTACTATTTTAAGAAACTACACACTATGAACCTCAGTAGAAAATTTTGTATTTTATTTGATTTGAGGCTTATGAATAAAATATGTTTAACTGACTACAAAAAATGAAGGAGTGTATTTTATTTATTTACACATAAAAAAAGGAAAAAAAGATTATTAAGATAAAGATAAAGATTAAGATTATTTTTTAAGGAGTAAATAATAATCTGAACAATAAACTTTTCAATTCGACTTGTCATTAAAACACAATGGTATAAGTATGATTTTATAGATTTGTATTTTATTTCTTATGAAGGGTGCGCCATCTATTACTTTTTTTTCGTTTGAAAAAACAACACGCTTTTTATGAAGTAAAATCGATTTTTTTTTAATTTGTAAATGAAGGTTGGTTTATGCCATATGTATGAAAAATAACATCGCTCATGTGACCAACGCGGCTTTGTTTACAGTCCAACATCCGAACATCAAAATTTTCAATGACTTTTTCCAGAATAATCGAGTGTATAGCCGCAATTTCAGTCCGAATATTGCGCTGAAAGTCTTGAATTGTCCGGGGAGCATTCGCATACACTTGTCCTTTCAAAAATCCCCAAAGAAAATAGTCAAGAAGTGTTAAATCGCACGATCTCGGGGGCCAATTCACATCAGAATTCGTTGAAATTAATAATTTTTGAAATTTTTTACATAAGACTACATAGTCTAGAAATTTCTCGGGCGATTGTTTGGCGAGATGTGTGAGCCGTTGCTCCGTCTTCTTGAAACCAAAGGTCTTCGGCATCAATACGATCCAATTTTGGCCACATAAAATCTGTTATCATGCCGCGATAACGTTCCCCATTGACGGTAATGGCCGTTTCATCTGCATCTTCAAAAAATAATGTTCCAACGATACCTCCAGGCCACAAGCCGCACCAAACAGTCACTTTTTCGGGATGGAGAGGTTGTTCATGATATTCGTGCGGATTTTCAGCCCCCCAGAATCTGCAATTTTGCTTATTGACGTACCCATTGAGGTGAAAATGAATCAGAAAAGAACACTTTGGCCAAAAAGTCCGTCTTCTCTTGGTCAAAACTAGTGCGAAGTTTGCGAAAAGTATTTTTTTTATATTTCGACCGTTTTCGTAATAAGTTTGGATAACCAAAATGCTTTGTTGTGTTGTAAGCGAATCCATGACTATAAATGGCATACCTTTGACAGTTCATATATGAATACCACATGACTTTTGAATCACATGGTAGCTCTTAAACTCATAGGTAAAAAAAAGTAATAGCTGGCGCACCCCTTATATATAACAGGGAGCAAACGGGCAGGAAGCTCATCTGATGTTAATCCGCCGTCCACGGACACTCACATTGCCAGAAGGCTCGCAAGTGCATTAATTTTAAGAATTGATACGATCTTTTATTGAATGACCCTTAGTCGAATCGAGTCGAAAATACTACATCGGGTATGCTAGTTCCATATTTTGGTGGTGCGTGGTCGTAAAAACGCTTAGTTGTGGAATTTCGTATTCTGCCTTTACGTCCGATGTTGAAACTTAGCTGTAGGCATTAATCCGAACCACTCCAAACACTATCCATGGTAAGTGGTACTAAAACAACAACATTTATTTTCTCCCAAAAATAGTACCGTTCTTTAATTATTTCCTTAAGTATTAATCAGTCTAATGGCTTCCAAGTTAGACGTTCCTAATTTAAAAGCAAAGATATTTTCATTAAGTTGCAAAGTGTATTGAATAATTAGGAAATTACGCCGACACCGAAGCGACATCAGGTTGCGATAAAACAGTAATTATCTCCTTATAATTACTCCAATCCGTCACAGGCTACGTTTCACATTAAATTAATCGGTTTTGTACACGGATTGGATACAAGAGCTTAAATGGCAAAAGCATCGCAGTTAATAACGTAATTAAATGAATTATTTATATGCTGATAATCACTTGATCCCACTTTAGCCTAAGTCCTAAGATTCGGGTAACTGCTGTTTAATGTGATAGACTTTCTTAGGCCGGTTCAGGCTGTTTATTTCTGTTATGGATTTACATTGCGTTAAAGTAACGCGGCTATTTAAAATCATTTCTTTACATAATTTTTGCTCTAAGGGACCGTTCAAGTATTACGTAACGAATTTTTGGAGGAGCACCCCCGTGCATTTGTAAAACGTTACGATGCGGGGCGGGGATTAAATTACGCGTTATTGTTAATATTTTTTTCGACTTACACCACATAATAGTAACTAAAGAGTCACTAGGTGGTCACGAAACGTTTAACTATACTTGGGTACTGATAAACGTTACGGCGAGTTACATGGGGGGGGGTCAATAATCTCCAAAAATTGCGTTACGTAATACTTGAACGCTCCCTAAATCATTATTGTCCCAAATGGTTAACCTCGTGCATGCTTTCAACCCCGAGGTCTGAAGTCCGTCTCTATACCCACAGATTCTTTCTACGTACACAGGTAGTTAACACTATCTCGATGTAACATCGTGAGGAAACTAAAAACAAAAATATAAAACTGTGCCCACTACATGAGTACGTAAGCGCCGGTGAACAATATTCGCAAATTCCAAACGAAAACTCTTGATAAACTATGTTAAAAAAGCGAAGAAAATAAATGTCAAGCGATGAGAAATTTATATTAATTTTCCAATGAATGCATCCAGACCAAATTTCCAGATGGAATTTAATTATGCTTCGGTAATTTTAATACCTGGAAATATTTGTCGTAGCAGAAGCTACACTATTGTAGGTCAACACTACGTGTATATTATCTGTAAGGACATTTCTCTACTTATATCCTGTCTATTTGTAATGTGTTATGTTTCGTTATATATATATATATAAATAAAATAGATTTCATCCTTGCTGGATTAAACCGGGTATCGTACTAGCTTTTGTAATTGAAGAATTACCTGAAACAATACATACATTTCATTAGAAATCTATTAATAATAAATATCTTTAAAAGCCACAAAATATACAAATCTCATATAAAAATAATTGGGTATAGGAATAAAAAAATCATCGTGAAATATATAAAAATACTAAAAATCAAAAAAAAATTTTTCATTACTAAGGGGTTTGAAAGATAGAGCCGATTCTCAGACTTACTGAATATGCATAAAAAATTTCATAAGAATCGGTCGAGCCATTGCGGAGGAGTATGGGAACGAACATTGTGACACGAGAATACTGATTGCTGATTTTTACTATCAAGTCATCAGAATCATCAATAATTGCTCAGATAGCAGAGACATGCGTTTTAAGTCGGTAAAAAATATAAAAAAGTCCCTGGCCCAAATACCAGTTATGGTGTGGTTTATTCTATTAATGTATGAATTCTTATGCGAGGCCAACAATTTATCAACATCGAATAAAAGCGTCCTTTGAATTTTTAACATCGTTTGAACGAACCTTGAATGAAAGCTAGGTCATTCTCGGCCTAGCGTGTGCCCAACTCAGGGTCGAAGTAATTGACCTACAGTGTACCAGAATTGCGAGCACAACATAACATTACACATACGTTCAACGGACCTAGTGAGAGTCCAAGAGCGGAAACTGAGTCCACAACACATACATATGTAACATATGTAACATAACAACGTTAAGTATAAGAACCAGATCTTTGACTTCCATAACCATATGTCAATATCCATAATACCCCAAGAACCAGTATGGGTCCCCTGAAAATCAGTGCTGCTGGTGACAGCAACTTAAAGCAGAGCTACCTAATTCCTATAATGTTTAACTGGCTCTATATAATCTATAATTGTAACTCAAATAATGTAATGTATTCATCCAAAACTCATGCCTATCATTTGTCTCCTATATGGCGACGCAGCCAGTCTCTTACTTATGTTATATTTTTGAATTTTCTTAAGTCTAATCACTATAAATCAGATAAATATTTTGTTTTCTTTTCATCGATTCCGACGTGTTTTAATATTGCCGTAGGTAGGCGCCAAACCGCTAGAATTGGGCGAACCTACCTGCTTAACCACAGCGCTATCAATCTTGTTCTCTACATTTCTCTCTCTCAATTCATAATCAAACTATATTTGTATCTTTACATTTGAGTACTTCTTAAACGTATGGAACATTTGTCCGACGTTAAACTTCGTGGGAACAAACAGTCTTTATATAGATAGCGGAAGTACATAAATCGAACGCATTAAACAATAATAAGTGTCTATTGAGGAATTTATCTTCATAAAAAGCCTGGTCAATACAATTATCCTAAACTGACAGAAACAGGAATAAAACGATATTTTATAGTTTTACAATTGAAAGCGAATAGGTATCTATAAGATTTCCTCGTGACGTTTAATACCAGCTACCTTAATGATTATTTAAGCATAAAAAATAAAGGTGTTTTAATTATGATAAGATCACTATGTCCCCAATATTCTCCAGGTGCATACGGGCACGATATTTACTGAGACTTGCCATTCAAGACATTATCTTAATATATATATTTCTTCTGTGCGTGTGTATGTGACTGAACTCCTTCTAAACGACTGGACCGATTTTGATGAAATTTTTTGTGTGTGTTCAAGGGGATCTGGGAATGGTTTAGATTCACAAATCAGCCGGCAGATGGCACTGCAGTCGGTACTTTCATACTTTGCTTAATATCCTAATCGCTTTAAATATCATGCAGGACAACGTCTGTGGGGTCCACTAGTATTGTATAAATTTGTACACATAGACTATACTATGAGCAGTCTCTATTCCATTAGGGAACGGTGGGAAGGACGCGGAGTATGACAAGACCAACGCCCGTACTCTGTAACATCCTTGTAAATAGCAACCACGACACGATTTTGTATGCAATTTCCATATAGTTGATAATGTTGTAACCTTAGAATCTCGCAGTACATAAACTCATTGGGATTGTTTTTTGTATGTTATTCTCAGTGGCGTTTGTGTTTTGGGTGAGCTTATAAGCTAAACAAAAATGATACACAGAAAGGTTAAGATACAAGGAAGAAGTGGCTATTTGATAACACCTTCGGTCCTTGCATCTTTGTAGTTTGTTACATAGACGAAAGTTCTTAATCTAATTGTTATAATTTATACAGAGCAAGTAATGATATAAATTTAACAAATGTTTGACGTTCAATATAACCTGGAGTCTCAGTTCCAATTCATTGAGATTGGGTAGTGATCCCAATTAGAAATTACAGATTAAGACCCTGGTGGTGGACTGTCCGCATTACGTACTTATATAAGCACCACTGAGAGACTCCCTATCATATACCAACAAACTTTTCTTCACACTGATAAGGACATCGCGGAGACGTGAACGGTGTACGTAATCAGTTCCTTCAGGGAAACTAACTTCCGTCGTCTGCGAGATGATATACTCCATTCACATACACCATTGTTCCTCTTCAACAACTTAACTGAATACATAATTCACAGGATAGAAGTGACTCAACCAATCGGTAACTGACTCATCTAAAACAATAATTTTCTTTCAAAACACACCGTGTTAGCGTATCGAGTATTTTAACCAGATACAAAACAAATGTAGGTCACAGCAGTAATGTCATAAACGCGCGACTTCATCCCTGAAGTCGTAGGTTCGAACTTCACCTTTGGCAATGGATTCTATGTGCGCCTTTGGGAGCGTTCAAGTATTACGTCACGCAAATTTGGAGATTATTGACCCCCCAACCCCCCGTAACGTTTTTCTGTACGTTATATAACAATATATATATATATATACAATTTATAATTATAGAAGTGTCCTTGAATTGTTTCACAGATAAGCAAAACCTTTTATAAAAATATGTGTAACACAACTATAACTAAAACAAAAAGTAATACGATAATGGGCACGAAAATGTAAACACATAAATTAAGAGTACAAACATTATATTAGACAACATATACTGAGACCTAAAAACGTGTAAGTAAATACTATGTAAAAGCTAGCACCACTTTATACATTCTGTATTTATTTATTCATTTAGGTAATATAATGTACACTTATGAACGTGAATAAAGAAATACATATTTAATGCTTCTAATTTTACATTTACTGCCAGTTCTAGGGCGTAGAACGGACGAGAGGAACTGGCAATAAACTCTCCGCCACTCTATTGCTACTGTCACACTAGCCAACATAAAAATCCGATAACTACTGCGTAATACAATATAA